TCAATTATAATTTGCTATTTTGAGATTCATCTTATACGTGAGTATATACAAAATTATTATACGAAACACAGCATCGATTTTTTTTCCCATAAGGCAATCTACTCATCAAAATACTTCTGCACTTTCTCACGATCATTTACTCTCATAACAAAAACCATTTTCTACTTTCTCAAATAATGGGCAGCTACTGATGTTTACCCATGCCTTTACCCGCAATGCCTATCATTCTCTGTCTAATTTGTTGGCACTTTACCACATCCAATCACTATCAGCATTTAGTTAATAAACTGCAAAATTCAATATTTAAATTCCTCACTAAACATTGTTTTAAGTACATAAGCATCCAATAGTACATACAGAACATTATTCAATATTTTCTTGGCTTAATACCAAGAGGCACATATATACCAATCTTTATAGAGCTTATATATCTTATATAATACACACACACCGCAAGGTTTGTTTACTCATGTGACATAGTGGGTATGAAGAATTTACAGTGTGGTCAGTGTGAAAGTATAGGAAAAAGTAATGCTATGGTTGCGAAAAACAACCGTCCACTGATAATATGAGAAATAAATGGCAAGGAAAGGCAATACGATTGTTCAAATGAGATTAGATTATATTTTTTTGATAGGCCTGAGATAAGTTTGTTTAATTGTCAAAATCTCGGTCAGAATCATTTTACAATGATATTTGAAATAATTCCAATGAAATATTATATTTCACAAGTGGCAATACTAACAACGGAAAATATCATGTTGGCCGTTTTTATGTCTGACAACAGAACCTAAATCAAGGTAAGGCCTAAACCTAGCAGTGTTGGATAGGCTAATGTTTCCAGTGGCTATAATATTTCTTTGCAGACCTATCGCAAACATAAACAAATCATCCGCATTATTTCTTGTGTGGAACACAAAAAAATCAAATTACAGTCTTATTTTACATTTTTTTTTATGTTTAGGAATGTCTAAATTAAGTTAAACTGGCAATATCGTATTATATTTATAAATCTTTATATAAAAATCAGATTTTTCTTAAGAACTGAAATTTTGCTGGGAATTGTAGTTTCTTTAATTGAAATGGTTCTTATAACATGGAGCTGTATACACTCTCTCTTGTCAACATACCAAAGATAAAGACCTCTTTCAAGTTATTGACAAGTGAATACAAATTTTAAAAAGCGTTTTAACTCAACTTATACCTTTAGGGTTTTGTTGACAGATTTAATATTGAAACTTTCCGGGAATGGGGCTATTACAAGATCATCTCAAAAAAGTTGGTAAAAAACCTAACTTTTAAATATACGGTACTTCAATTAATATATTATCCCTTAAACATAGTTTGCCCTTAAATTATACACAAAAGCAATACATACTTTTTACAAACACAAATGCTATTGTACTAATCAAAGACTTCAACTTTTACACATTTACTCACCCCTCCAGTTTATTAAATGTAATTCATTATTTGGCACTATCACTTGTAATGCACAGCCCTAGGATACTTATGAATATTTTGTTTCATTTTAACGCATTGCGCCCAGGATGGTAATTGTGATTTCTATATTTACAATAATGAAATATTAACACCTCCAGGGATAAGTATTATTAGGTATCAAGCTGCACTGTGTGTGTGACTATTATACTCTTACTTAAATTTTAAAATAAACAGAATGTGAAACAAATTTGTGTTTTCGAGATCAACAATCAAATACCTATATATTTATATATTATCTATTATTTATCTATAATCATTTATAGTGTGCTATTGCCAACTGATTCATAGTGCCAAGTATAAAATTCAATGTAAAAACTAAAGTTTCGGATCCTGATTAATACAGTTTACAAAAGAATTTGAACAAAAAACCGTTTCTATTCCTTAAACTAAACCTATTCTTTATTAAAACACACATACTGGTAGATACAGAATATAGGGGAAACACCATAACAAATTGTTGACAATGTTCTAATGAAAAACAAAACTTAAAAAACCAATTACCGTATGGTTTCACAATTTTTATTTTTTGGAGTTACATTACACATTTTCTGTTTACAATTAATTAGGGCATATTCTGGTTAAAAGTAAAAAAATGCAATGATTAACTAATTTGAAATAAAAAACACAATAGCTGGTTCACGTCGAACTTATATCTAGATATAGATCCACTTAAAGCCCCATTCCCGGCAAAATTTCACTAAAAATGACTTTTTTTAGAAAATATGCATTTGCATTACTCCAATTATTATAAATCATGGAAAAATATTGGCATGAATTTTAGTTTTACGCAAAAGAATAAAAAAATGAGAAATACAGACTATTTCTCATAAAATATTACCATTTTCTCGACGAATTCATCGTTACTAGGCAAATTCAGAGGTTGTAGATCGCATCCACTGGAATACTCTCGCTTTTATGTATACTTTATACAGTCAATAAAGTGCGCCCTCTCTAATGAGATTAGTTTTTGTATTTCGCATCTCGCACAATGCGGTCGTTCTGTTAGGCTGAGATATGTTTGTTTAAGTGTCATCTCAGTCAGAATCAGTTTTTTAACAAATTTGAAATAATTCCTATGAAATATTATATTTCACAAGTGTCAATACTAGCAACGGAAAATATCATTCGGCCGTTTTTATGTGTGATAACAGAACCTAAATCGAGGTAAGGCTAGGCCTAGCCTAGCAGCGTTGGATAGGCTAATGTTTTCGGCGCCTACGATATTTTTTCTCACGACCTATCGCAAAATCAACATGAAAAATTCATCCGCATTTATTTTTTGTGTGGAACACAAAAAAATCAAATTTCAGTCTTATTTTACATTTTTTTCATTCTTAGGAATGTCTAAATTCATTTAAACTAGCAATTCCGTATTATATTTATAAATCTTTATAACATTATACAAATATTAGATTTTTCTTAAAAACTGAAATTTTGCCGGGAATGGGGCTTTAACTAGTTAAAAGTTCGACGTGAACCACTCAATTATAGCTAGATAAAGGAATTAAGTCACTTAAGTTAAGTGACTTAACTTTACTAGAATAACGGTAAATTAACTTGCTTAACGGTAAAGTTGGCTCGGATTACAAGGACACGATTACGTAATGTAGGCATCTAAGCCAGCGTTGTTGTATTGTACCACCATTATCATCTTTTGGCTGGCAACAACGTACTCCAACAATGTCAACAACAGCATCAAAGTAGTCTCATTAGTCTGGTTTTTAGAAATTATTTGTAATATTATGGGTAAAAACCCAAACGTCCGTTTTACGAATAGTCGATATTACCAATGACCTTTGCCCTTTGCATCATCGACCAAGTAATAACGTTAAAAAGTCCGATTGCGTACGTTTTTCAAAGTGATATGTATATTTTTCTTAATAATTAAATCAGATTTGTTGTATTTGTTTATTGACAATTCAATCTTTTCCATTTCTGCTATAATAGTCGCTATTAATTAAGTTTCAACGAACTACCACCAACGCCAGTCGTTAAAATGAGCGCACGTTTACGATGACGAAATAAAAAAGTGTGTGGAAGTCAGCAACTTATTTGACACCGCGAAGCTTGGTTTTCGTGAAGTGCATGTAAACAACACAATTGAGCGGTCTAAAAACTACAAAACAGGACAGAAAGATCCATAAAGTATACAGACGATTTAATGAAAATTAAAACAATATTTTGTTAAATGGAAGAATGCTAGCTAGCGATTAAAATAATTCGTTTTTTATCGAAGGTAAAATTAGCTAGGGCCTAGCCTAGAGAATCTTTTAGATTGCGATAGAACACGCTGCTGCACTATCGTTGGTTCGTACTGGTCGGCTAGGTTAGGTAGTGGAAATTCACACCTTCTCTACAGTAGTTTACAATTCCGTGTGATGTCGACGGCCTGAAACTGGTTGGCTGTTTATCTGGCTCTAACTTGGCATCGAACGCAATTAGGGGATTATCGTATCATGTTTCAAGACGTGTATACCTAGATATAGTTCAACGTGAACCAGGCTAATGTCCACCAGACATTTTATCATTTTATCATTGTGTTTTTCATTTCTATTTTGACTGGGAAGCCTCAGGATACAAACCTACGGGTTTAGAGGGTGATCTTCTTTCCTTCATTTTGTCCTCTTTTTCTTCTTGGTTCTTTACTGATGTACTGTCCACTTGTCCTTGTAACCTTGTTCCCGTTTCCTGTTTTTCCTTGTTTGTTTTTCCCTCAATTTGTTTTTTTTACGTGTCTTTTCCTGTTTATTGGTAAATTTGTGAAGTTATTTTTTCTGTTATTGTGCCATCAACTTTTCAATTTTTTAAAATGGCTTTTTGATATTTCTTCTACATTGAAATAGTGATGTTGATTTCCTTATTTTACTTCTCTCTTTGTAGTATTTGTTTATGTTTACATTCTATGATTGAGCATAAAATAAAAACAAACAAATCTGTAAACATCTTCCTTCTTCTACTGTTATTTTTCCCTTTCATTCTTCCTTTAATAAAATCCTTCAACAATCCAGAGACTGAATGGGAGATTTGTGATGGAAAAGTAAAAGCTCTGTCTAGACTACCAAGAACTGATGTATGCCTATATATAGTCATGATGTGCTGATGGCATTGGTTGTCTGGAAGGGTTTTAGAGCTGGGCATGTTTGATCAGACTGTATCTGATTGTGTTTGTTTAAACATTTCAGATCAAACAAATAATGTGAAGTACTAGAAAAAGGAAATACAGGTGACATATTTACATATTTCATGTAAGTTATTTTATATGATGAATAAAATCAAACCTTGAACCATATGATATTTTAACTAATTCGAATGCAATTTATTTGCTTAGCAAGTTTTCAGTGATGGGATGCCTGAAGGTGCTCAAACTTCTTCTGGGATGAGCACTCATCCTTCACCACTCTTTGGTAATTCATTTAATGATTTTCATAATAAAAAGTTAGTAATCATTGAGGTTTTCAAGGGTTTTACTACAAAGACACCTTTAAAAGTGTTTACAATACCTGTAAAAAGTTGATAGAGGACACAGCCAAGGGACCAGAAGTCAGATGCTAAGCTGTTGTCTCCTCCCTTGAACACTTCAGGGGCCAAGTATTCTGGAGAACCTACGTACAACGAAAATATAAATGTTAGTGTCATATCAATACATTATAATACTATAGAGAACAGAATAGCTCAGCCAGCTAAACTAGTCTTATCCACTGTGTGTGTGCTGAATCGTTGAGATATTTTAGTCCCCGGCTCAATTCCCATTGCTGTTCTCCTGTAGTCCTGGAGAAGTTGAAAAAAGCACTGTCTTTTGGATGAGCCCTGTGTGTAATATGCACCCTGTGCAGGTTAAAGAACATAGTACACACTACGGAAAAGAGTAGGGAGAAGAGAGTAGAGGATTGACTCCCAGTGTACCGCCTCTGATGTACTGCCCAATTCACCACCAGAAGGACTCCACTGGAAATAATTTTTCTTTGGACATTTTCAAACTTGTTACAGCTAGGTTCAATGCAAAAGTACAATCTTTGATCTGAAACTATAAAATTTATGCAAAGTAGACTGAAAATTCACTGATATTCCTGGGACTGGGTTCTATAACACAATGATTAGTACTTTCCACTTCAATTTTCAGCGCTGCATTGCTAATCTAAAGTCATTATATGATTTGTAAAAGTCGGCTATGCTACTTATGCAAAATATACCCTGGGCTGTTGCCCGAGGAAAGGCTGGTATGTAAAATTGGGCCTAAAGTAGAGGATGGACTTATACCCAAGGTGGGCTTTTACCCAAGGAACTACAGTATATATTTATGGGGCCTAAGTTAGCAAATTACACAGATCTGATTTCCAGACATTTTACAAAAATCCTTAATTAGGTCTATGCAATAATATACTGTGAAACCTTGAATAGAAGCCCTGGGCTTCTGTTTTTTTGCAAACTTTGGATGGGCTTCTTCTTGAGATGGGCTTCTTTTTGAGGCTACTTTTGCAACCTAAAAAGGTGGGGCTTCAATTCGGGATGGGCTTCTTCGCAAGATTACACCCCTTTGGGTTTCTATTTGAGGTTTTACAATAGGAATAGAATTATTTTCAATTTTAAAATTAATTAATTTTCAATTAAAATTTTAAAAATTTAATAAATTTTATTATTTAACTTTATTAGCCTAACATAGGAAATTTTCAGAGGTTGAGAAGCAGTTTGGAACATGTATGAACCTTGTAAATGATTGTAGATACATTCAACTTTATGCTTTTTGCATAATCTGCCATTAATGATGTCATCAGACTTCAAATGCACTGTGACAAATCATTTGACTATTATAGACGTATCATTCCTTCCTATTTAATTCCAAACGGTAGACCCCCTCTTTGGAAGACTAATTACCCTGACACTAATACAAATGATTGCTTTAATAGAGGATATGGCAATAACATGCGGAAAATCTCCCAAGAGGCCACGTTTATGGATGCCGCGGTAAACTTCACTCCATTCTACGAACACTTCCCCAAGAAAAAACAGGAAAATATATCTTTACAATTAATAGCAACACATACCCAAATGTATTCAAATTATAGAAAGGCCAAACATTACATGTTGTTGATGTTATTACATTTTAAAACAAATTAAATTTAGTAAAAGAGAATTCAAGCTTAGAAATACAAACAAAGAGAAGTAACAACTGTTTAATAACAATTTTTAGAGGAGAAATTTTATTTTTACATTATTATCAATAAGATATACTTTTACTGAAGATTTGTAAACATTTTGCAATTCTACAAAGAGAAAACTTTTGTAGAAATAAACATAAAGATCTAGCCACAGATAATTACATTATTTATCTACTGTACTAATATGCAACTTCAACTTATATAATACTCAGAAATCTGATGATGATCTGAACATTTACAGTGCATGTAGTTTACAATGTTATACAAACTCAAAGCAAATGAAAATATCACTATGCAAAAGTTATTTTATCCCCAAGTGGAAAATTCTATTCATTAACAGGTGCTACACAGGAAAATTAACTGTAGATACGCAACACTGACCGTCATTCAATTGTTGCCTGTTGCTATGTGATACTGACCATCGCTACACTCTACACTAATAATAATTCTAAGCTTTATTGGTCCTCATTCTAATTTGGAACCAGAAACTTGGGCTAGGCCCGAGTACCCACGGCAGCTGCAGCGCAGCGCCATCCGACTCAACTCAAAATACCATAGTAGCAGTACGCTTACATTACATAATTTTTTTTTTTTTTAGGCAGAAAAGAAACCATTAATTTTTCAACACCCACTTCAGGTCAAGAGGAAAACAGCCTAGTTAGTTGATCATTAGTAGAGAGAAAATTGTAAACAAACAGCTCAAAGTAAAAAGCTTTATGATGAATTCTCACAAAACATTGGCAAAGAGAGCAGGTCTAGTATTTACCACTCCATAATATCAGAAGATTGGATTCTCAGGCAGCGTGGTGGATAAAACCTACAACAACAATTCAGATGTTTTGTAAAGTAGATTATAATTCTCAAGCCCGGAATACTTATACCATGTCATATTATTGTTATACTAATAATATTGTTTCTTCATTTATAAGATATAACATTTAATTTAGAATCGAATTGGCTTGCATCACTTTCTTTAAAGTTTGTTTTATACCCTAATACAGTACAGGTCTCACTCCAATTAAAGACCACTTTTGGGACTGGGGTTTTCATGGTCTTTAGCAACTTTGGTCTCTAATTAGCATAATAAAGATAAAAGGCATTTGTTAATATGGGACCACAGAAAAGCGATCTTTAATTAGGGCAAAAAAAAAAAATTCTTGCGTTGGCCACGTTTTGGGAAAATCCAAAAAGTGGGTAGGTCGGTGGGGAAAGTTGTTTTTTTTTTTTTTTTTTACCAATAATGTGTGATGCCTAAAAAGTAGAAAACACATGAAAATACAACAAAGACCATTTTAAAATCTAAATTGAAGAGCAAAGACAATCGCAACACTGTCGCATTGCCTACCGTTCAGCAAGATAGGACTATTCCAGAATTTGTAGCTCATTAAAAAAATATTCTTTGTTGTAGTAAAAAAAAACAAACAAAAAAAACAACTAAAATGTTGAACCTCAATTTTGTAAATTTTGGGTCGCTCTGGCGTGGCCAACTCCATAATTTTTTTTTTATTTGGCCTTAAAAGGTAGCCTTAAATTGGAAGGGGTCTTTAATTAGGGGGAGGTATGTACTGGCAAAAAAACATCAATTAGACACATACCTAAATTCCTTTTTGCTTATATATATATTTTTTATTATAAATAAACCTGAAAATAATATATTTATTTTCAGTTTAATTGGCGACAATATTTTATCACTCATTTTATCAATACAGAGCTAGCAATTCAAATATTAAAAATATTAATACAGTATTGAACTAGCTGTAGACCTATTTACAAGAGACTGAGGGTAAGGACAACCCCATCCCCACTAGCAAAGATGAGCCCGTACCTGTAAATGGCCAACACTATCACCAGCACTACCACAAACATTTCACTGGGATCATAGTTGGTGTGGTACATTTTACCAAACACAAAAAATAGAGGCAACTTCAACAACATTGTCTTATATATTTTATTCGTCTGTACACAACAGCTAACCATCACACAACAACCAAACCACATACAAACCCAACTACTTATGCTGTAGGTTTGCAGGTGGCTGCATGTAACTTGCATATTACAAGTGCATTCAGGCGGGAAAACAATGGATTGACGTCACAACAGTAGTTAGTTTGATGGATATATTCGGTCCAAACACCAAGGATAACCCACAAAAGTCTAAAGACGACTTAGTTCCAGTATTTCCCTTCTAGTGGTGATTTGGCAGTACACCGGGAGACAATCCCCTACCCTTTTTTGAATAGTGTACTGCATTATTTAACATGCATATGGGCTATAATGCACAAAGGACCAACAGCTTCAAACGTCTCATCCAAAAGACGCGCTATCATAAATTGCAGCAGCAAGGAGAACAGCGAGGGGAACTGACCACGGAACCTAGAGATCTCCATGGTTCTGCGCACCGAGGAGAAGTGCTAGTAAACGGAGCAGCAATGCTGGTTCCTCCGCTTTGGGTTACAGTAGTGTAGTTTGTAGGATGACTAAGTTTTCTGAATGTTTTTCTTTTTCCGCTGTTTATTTTCTCAAGTGCCTTGAGCATTTCTCTACAATGGATAGGAGGACTATACAAACCCTTATTCAATGTTACGTTATTATTAGCACCGCCAAGGTCTGTCTGTCAGTTAGCAAGATTACGCAAACGCTAACGAATCATAAAATTTGGTGGAATAATACATAATAATCAAAGAATATATAATTCTCGGAAGAAAATACCAAAGGACAAGGTCAAGGTCACGGAAATAAAATTGTTTACCTCAAGTACAAAATAAAATAATGGAATCACCCCTCATATTCAGGCAGCACTCAAGAACACAATGTGTCCTGAATACGAGGGGGGATTCCATTGTATGCTGCAGTTTCACCAGTCATGTAGTAAAGCTGTGAATTATAACTCCGTATCTGTGCGCAGCCTTTTGTAACTGGCATGCCGGTACCATTTTGAACGTAGCTACGAAGGTCATTGTTATTTTAATTAGCTGTGCATGATCGTGCGATGATCGTAGGGTGGATCATCGGGTTGATAAACAAAAATTTGAAATATAGTTTACCAGCTTTTAAAAACATGAACAATGTTGCAATTTACTAATAAACAATGATAGAATTTTATTGTTTGTTATAATCGATGTTTTAAAACAGTGCATCAAAAAGAGGCCTAGGAGCACACAATAATTATACATGTGGGTATACTTTCCAATTCAGAGTATTTTTATCCAATTTTATTGTTCTGGTAGTTAGCAGGTTCTTTGGGGCCCAGGGTTGAAGCTACAGTAGGGTCAGCAAAACCACCAAAGCCAGAGGATTTTTGTGCTTTATGGAGTCTAAATAATGCTATGAAAGCAGATTATGTTTGAAAACATCCGAGTCTGGGTAGGTCTGCAGTGCATTAGTTGGGTTGGAGGACTTGTTCGGGAAATTTGAAGACAGGATTCACCAGAAAAGAGGAGGGTTTGCAAGAGAAAGTGGGTTCTCCCGAACCATAAAACCCCCCGACTACGGGCCGGCGTACATCAGCTGGTGGATTTTCGAGGTTGACAATTTCATGAACTGGCAGTTTTATTTTCCATTGGTTTCCATGTAATTTTACAATCAACGGACATTAGCTCTGCTTAATATATATCGGACAAATCCAAGACTACAAAATATTGTTTGATAAACAATATTTTCACATGTCTGTTATTGTTACTGAGGACAGTTAAAAGAGGTAAGATAATTATAAATAAAAATATTCTAGGCTATTACTAAAACAAAAAATACAAACAATTTCCCTGTCAGCAGCGAGTGGAAGGGAAGACTCGCATCAATTTAAGTGTATGTTTTTCTCATTGAAAAAATACCTCCATGCTTTAAATTAACGTGTTAACTCGTGCTCGTCATTCACTAATGACCTAGCAATACATTGTCTATTCTAGTAAGCTACAGTAGTCTTCTGCAAATAAAAATTAAAAAATACAATCCCCCTTCGTCGTCTCACTTCGTAGCCTTGATCAGATAGATATCCGGCTACAAAGTAGCTATAAAGCCGACATGTATGGAAAATTGCAGTATTAACTAGCTATGGCCTGTGTATTGTTATTCAGGCACAGGGTGAATGTATGCATTGTATGGAGTGACTGCTCTAGTTATGTATGAATCATCTGGAGAAGATACATGGAATATATTTGGAAAATGCTAATATGTTTTACTGTAACTCATTGCATTCTACTGTTACACGTTTTCTACATCACATGCCAAATTTGTAGCTATAAGAATACAGGAGACAAAAGATTAAATTTTTTATTTATTATCATCATGCCTACCACCAGTAAATCGCACAATAAGAAATCTGTATCTTCCTTGATAATAAATTAATATAATGTATAATCAAACCAATTATTGAAGTATTCATGAGCATCTCTTTTACTTTTTACCTCACATTCATCTTTTACTTATTGCTAAATTATGGAAAATGTTATACCTCCTCTAACTAGATGCTTTTGGCAAAAAACATTTTATTAAATGGCACCATTTATATCTATTCCACCTTTAAGTTCAATGAATTTTCAACAAAAAAAACCCACAAACCAAGTTCAAATATCTTCCCTAACAATAGGTGATTAAAAATCATATTAGACTAATAGATTCATGTTCATTTTTCTTTTTTTTTTGTTTATTTAGTAATACTTCTTTTAATTCTTAGTTCTTCTTTCACTTTACCTATAAATGATTTTTCTTTGTCATTTTATATGGTTTAACTTATGTCTATTAAAAACTAACTAATGTTAACTTCTATAAACAATATTCCCAGGCTGTGGGCATTTTCCACATTGACAATGGCGTGACAATCGTCTCAAAAGCAGTAATCATTTTTCAAAAGACTGTTGACCATCATTATATGTCATGTACCAAACTCGAACTTGAAAATGTAGACTAGGCTACAATATCTGCATTTTGATCATTCACTTTCAAGTTGTTACTGCCAAGGAGGACAGGTTTGATATAGTGCCCTGTGGCACTATGGTACAAAAGATTAACAGAACGATAAACAATATCATCAAATTTTGAAGAATACCTAATAATAATACTAAGTAGTTTGAATTAGGTATTTAAATACCAAAAACTTCATACCTTGTGGAGGCTTCACCCCAAACATGAACCTGCCATTTACCCAACTAGAGCCCTGAGATGGCCCTAGAAGAATTAATTGAAGATCCAGGTTGAAAGGTAAAAGATAAATGAATGAGTAATGAAAGAATTTGCAAAACTCCATAATCACTTAAATTAGACATTTAATACCTAAAATGCCGGAGCTTCTTGGGCTTTTATCCCAACCACCACCAAAGTCCTGTCACACGATTCCACTAAGGCTTGCACCAAAGCCACATAATTAGGGCTCCAGTAGTTGTTCCAGGGCCACTTTCAATAGACTTTATTAGCATAGGTAGAATGTTTTAAATTATAGTCATAAAACAGAATATACAATACACATACTGAAGAAACTTAACAATCCTCATGCAGTATTACCTTACAATGGTCTCATTCGTCGTCTTAAATGCACTCGGTGTAAAAGAAAGGAATCGAGTCTGTTTTTTGTTATATAGCCAAGTTATTATTTACATTATCTACTGGATATGATAACCATGAAATGGATAACATATCTATGTTCACTTATCAATGTAACATACAGTAGTACTTTTCTCAATCTACTCATTTCTCTTTATCTCAGATTTTTTCAAAAAAACAATCCAAAATTGTTGTTCTCAGAGAATATACGATTGTAAATTTTTTTTCCCACCTAATTTTTTCATAACTGAAATGGATTCTGCGATATTATATCTATGTTCACTTATCAATGTAACATACAGTAGTATTTTCTCAATCTATTCATATTTCTCTTTATCTCAGATTTTGTCAAAAAAACAATCCAAAATTGCTGTTCTCAGAGAATATACGATTGTCAATTTTTTTCCCAACCTAAATTTTGCATAACTGTACATGAAGCCAAGTTGCTATTAAAGAATTTTACATGAAGAAAACACTACAAATATTAAGAGTTCAAGGCTAGCACCAGTGGGGCTTCCATCAACCCTTGTCTAGGAGAAAAAACAAAAAATTGTTTGCGGCCCGCAAAAATGAATTAAAAACCCTGTGTGCGGACCGCCATCCATCTTAGGCTTGTTACGGCCAGACATCAATCAAGGGCAGATCCAGACATGTCCAAAAGAAGTGGGGCTGGAAGGGGGCCGAAAGTGGGGCCGAATGAGATAACAATACCCTAGAGGGATTTCTAGACCCCTGAAAATAACCTCTGAGGCCATTTGGGCAATAATTTTTTTATTTTTCTTTCTTTTTTCTTTTTTTCTTTTTTCTTTTGACTTTCCAAAAAGGGGAGGGGGGCGGGACTGGCCCACCCCTCCCCCCCACAAATCCTAACCTGTCAATTATCTGAAAAATATGATATTAAAACTGAGCATAAAGCAGTATAAAAGTAGTGTATAAAGGATTCTGAACTGGAAACATCAAAGTTTGGGTGCGGCCTTTGGTGTTAAAACAAAAATTTATTTTGGCCCTCCAACCCATTTTTATGCACTTTAGAAGAGCCTAATACATGTGTTGGAATATTATAGATGAAACACATTGACCTACCAGTAGGCAAACCTCTCAGCAGTGACCTTAGAAAAAAATATAACCATTTAGTATTTGCTATACCTTGTTATACCGCATTTAATCTTACCTAATGTTTTGCGACTTCTTGGACTCGCGTTTGATCCCGCATCAGAATTGTCTAGACTGTTCTCTGAGTCATCCCCGGTCAACTGAAACAAATCATCTAAACTTTCACCTTCGACCTTAGATAAACTAAAATCATCATATTTAAGCACTCCTGGACCATCAAGAAGGATCTGGAAAATTAATAAAAAAAATATTTTTTCATAATATTGATTTTAAGTAATGGAGGAAAATGTCATAATTACTGTAGAACAAGTATTGACTACAGTACAATCACATATTAATAATAACGTCATTCCACATGGACGGAAACATTCAAAATAAAAAAAATAAAAAGGATGTATTCAAATATTCATAAAACATATTGTACAGTAATCAGAAAGTGTTTTCCTAACACGTTTTTTGTAGTTTTTTGTTCTATGTTGTACGAAACTGTGTAAATTGATTTAAGTAATCATAATTAACCTTTGTATTGTCGAAAGATATATATAAATGTGGATATGCTTTATTTCGCTTTTTTTTTATTGTTTGAGTCTCCAAATAATCAACTGTATGTGCTTCCCTTTTATTTGAATAAAATCAATAAATAAATAATTACCTAGTCTTAGTGATCAGATAGGACAAGGAAATAACATACGATGAAGCTGTAGGTTGGTGGTTGCTTGCCTTATAATCCCAAGGTCCTAGGTTCAAATCCTGTCAAAGCACAAGACTTTTTCTAATTACCAGAAAAAAAATTCTACACTTAACCTCAATATTAGTACCACTTTATTTAATTTATTCTTGTGGAAGCGGCACCTCGGAATCTCAACTTTGAGGTCAAGGGTTCAAAATCCTTGCTGTGCAAGTCGCTTGTGTCCTTAGACAAGATACTCTATATGTGTTTGTCTCTCTGCACCCAGGATTATAAATGGGTACCGGCATATGCTGGGATGGTAAAACTGACTGCAGTGCAGGAAAATCAAGCTATAAATCACACATCTTAATACTAAACTTCTATCAACCTAAGTTACTAAAGAAATAATGTGTCATGTAACATGAAAATGTCTTTTGAAAGTTTATACTTAAGGGAGCAATCATTAAACCTCATTACCAAGTTATCATGTTTACATTCTGACCTTCAGCAATGCATTTCTATAGTCTCAGAAATGCCTTTTTTAGGCAAAATAAATCTCTGTCTCATTCATTTTTTTTGCTGCTTCATTTTTCTAATTTTTTTTTGTAGCATTATAGCCCATGGTTCCTAAAATATGCGTAAAATTAATATACTGTATGTCAAGTGCATAGTTAATAATTTCTCAAATAAAATCTACATCATCAAAAAAATATAATGTATACAGTACTAAACAATTCGTAAAATATTGTAAAATATGTAAATATTCTCTTCAGAGTGTAGTCTTAGATAATAAGGCCTACCTAGTTATTTAGCAGTCAAAGGAAGGCTATCTAAATGCAAGTGGTCTATGCATACGTAATAGTTGAATTGGCGATGCTTAATGACAGTGTGGGTGCTACATTTGGTAAAGTTCTAATTATATTCCAATAATTTTGTCTAGGTTAGGACAAGTAACGATTATGCTTTTTTCGTTTACTTGCCTTAAATGAAATTATTCATTAAATACAGAGATATTTAATGCATCCTACTGTCAATATAATTTCATGAATAGTATCTTTATTAAAACTGATAATTTCATCAATAGTATCTTTATTAAAACTGATATATACTGTAGCACTATAAGGAATAAAAAATATTGATTAAATACACATTTAACTGTAATAAATGAATTAGACCTATATAAAAATGTTCGGAAATTAAAGATTACATTTACTACACACTATACACCTTGTTTAAGAATATTTTGTTCATATTAATACATTGTTTAAAAGTTTTGTTTATATAGAAGGACTGTGGTTCTGTGAAATGGTGCATGCATTTTAATTCCTGGATTTAGGTTCCATCACTGGTAATGATCCAAAAACATAAAAGTTTCCTGAAGGAACCAACAATGTAGCATTCTAAAAATAAGATTAATTATTTAAATAAACAGTTTGTTTTGACGGTTTTGACAGCCGTGTGTACCCACAAAAACATTGGCGTGACTGCGAGAGTGTGGTAAAGTCAGGCCCAGGATGTATAAGACCTAAAGTAAAGAAGGTCTATATCCTCTTGACTATTACAAAATTAAACCTTAATGTACACCTAAACCACTCTTTCCTGTTTATGAGAACTCCAAAAGCAACAGCTTTTCTGTTAAAATTAGTACTCAGAAAGTTTATGCTTTTCATTACCTACCTGTTTTTTTAAATGGGATGACAAAACAATGTTTACAAAAAGCAATTAAATTCTATATTTGGGTTGTTATATTTAAGTGAATAGAAATATAGAATGACAACAAAGTTTTCCTCAACAATTAACATTTTAAATTATTTAAAATTAATCAATAAATTCTTATATTCTTTAAATTGGCTGGGAAACAATTTCAGAATTTTTGGGTCCATGCACAGCGGACCCCAGATCCTTACTGCTATTCTTCCTGTTCTTGTTGTTGTTATTAGTAAACTTTAAAAGTGTCCAGCGTCGCCAGTCTTGAATGGACGTGCAGGAAATTTTGTACACATAAACTAGGTTATTTCCAACTTAGATGGCCCTTTTTTAAGTTTAACCGCAGGGTTCCCCTACAAAAAAACAAAAAAACAAAAAAAATAAACTAACAAACAAACCAACCAACACACAACACAAACACACACAAGCAAGACGAGTCACGATTAAATTAATTTTTGTATTGCGAAACAAGGTGATTCCTGAGTTTATTGGTAAAAGACTTCACGGAAACTGAGTTCATAATTGAGGATGGTAAATTATTCCAGAGTATAGGACCAGTGTATCTAATATTGTGTTGAAAATAGTTGGTGTTATGATTAGGTATGTGAATATCATTTCTGGATCGAGTATGATAATTGTGAATGGAGTGATTTAGGGTAAACATATTACAGAGATGGTTAGGGAGAATAGAATTAATGGCAGTGTATAAGAAAGTACCTTGTTGAATATGGTTAATATCAGGGAGTTTGAGAAGGTTTAAATTGGAGAACAGGGGAGAGGAGTGAGACCGTGGTGGAGCGCCAGATATAAGTCTAATAACTTTTTTTTGGAGAACTTGAAGTCTGTTAATATTGGATAAATAAGTATTGCCCCAAATAATGTTGCAGTAGCTCAAATAAGGAAGGATTAAAGAGCAGTAAAGAATACGAAGAATATTAGTGGGTACAAATGGGGATAATCTAAAAATAATACCAAGGCTTTTTGAAATTTTGTTTTCAATTTCGTGTATATGTTTTTTCCATGATAGGCCACTGTCAAGATGAACTCCTAAGAATAAAAATTTTAAAAGGAGTGGTATCAATACATTTTAACTTTTGTGGGGTCCCAAACAAGATGAAGTTACATTTGTTATGGTTAATTGAAAGTTTATTAGCAGCAAAGTATTGGGACAAGGGAACCAGATTAGAGTTGACAGTATCAAATAATGATTGGACATCATGGTCAGAATAAAAAACAGTGGTGTCATCAGCATAAAGGAAGAAATTAAGTAAGTTAGAGGATTGATGGATATCATTGATGTACAAAATGAAAAGGAGGGGACCCAGTAAAGAACCTTGAGGAACTCCACAAGTGATTGGTCTGTAATTTGATATAGAGGTAGAATAGTACACTGGGTCCGGTTGGAGAGGTAACTTTTGAGAAGGGTAAGTGCGGGGCCACAAATTCCATAGTGAGATAATTTAAATAAGAGAATATTGTGATCAATTGTGTCGAAAGCCTTGGAGAGATCTATAAAAAGTCCAATTGCAAGATAGCGATTTTCAAAAAAATAAAAATATTAAAGGAAATAATGAAGTCATAAATATAATAATAATAGAATAAATACTGTAAGTACCAAACCAAACCAAAATAATTAAACAACCTAATAATATACAGCAGCAACAACAAAGGAAACATAAGCATGAAAAGCGATAATGGAAGACCATTAAAAAACAGTGCAAAAAAGACAAAACAATTCCAAGTAAGCATCAACAACGACAGCAACAGCAAGCAAAAAAGAAAAAAAAAACCATGGTATGCATTTCGAAAGTGAGACTGGTGAGAGATTCATGGAGACTTATATTCAGTTACTGAAAAAATTAACGTAAATCAAATGAAATAATTAATAGAGGAAAAAAGAAAAAGAAAAAAAAAAACGTTAGAAGCATCAGCAGCACGACAGCAGCATGACAGCAGCACGACAGCAGCAACACAATTATTTTGTATAAAAATGATGGGATTATTAAAATGTTATCAGAAGTTAGAGTTCCGACAAGATCTGACTGGTCAAAACAACATAAGATGCAGTCAAAACATGCTGTTAATGTTCCGGTATTATCAGTTAGTGAGTTAATATAGAGTATTTAGCTCTTCATGATTAATATCTTGCATAATTCAGAAATGACGAAGTTCGGATTCGGACTTGATGAAGACTTTCTTCATGCTCTTCTTTATCACGCAGTAAATCCTGCCGTCCATGGACCATGCAGATCCAGCAGCTTCACTTCTTATCGCTTCCTTAAGAGCTTTAGCCTGTTATTCTCAAGGGCTTTCCTGCTGCAAGCTTCTGAGCTTTTAAGGCACTGCCCCCATTGATTTTGTCAAAAAATGTTTATATTAATTATGAAAATGGAAATAAATGTTCATTGAATTTAAATGAATTGTTCGCCGAACTACCACCCGTTGTGTTTGTGGTTGTAAAATGTATAACAAAGTTACAAACATTAGAATGTTACACTGATTTTTGACGAGTATACTTGTCCCTGGCGCCCTCAGCAGCACCCTGTGGGCGAGTATACTAGGAGCAGCCGATGTGTTAAGACATTTTATTTTATTATTTATTTATCTATTTTTTTCTGTAGGTAGTAATTACTGACAATTATGAACCCTTGCCAAAAGCCACTAACGCCACTGTGTACTGTATTTAGGCATGGAGGATATTTCCTACATGATTTAAGCATGTTTTAATAGTGTCAACAAAAAGTCTTGTCTGAAAGTTGCATACCTGTAGCATTAAACGCTGAGCAGTTGATCTTGTTATATAGTCAAATGACTGTAAATCAGTGGGAACTGTTATTGCTCAGTCTGTTT